GATTCTCATTTTGTAATGAAGAAAGTGAAGATTCTTGGGCTATTCACGGTAAAATAAAAATAAAAAAAGTAGAATTTGAAGAATAAAGCTTTTTGATTTATCAGATAATACATATTTTAAAAATTTTGTTTTTCATTCTTTTCAAATTTAATTATTTCTATATAATTTATTCTTATTCATTTTTTGTATGTTAAAGCATGTCATTTTAATTTTAAATTTTTTTTAAAATTTTCAAATAACAAATATGATAAATATTAGTTTGATGACGGAAAAAAGGTCAAATCTTTGATCAAATAATTTAAAATTATTTTATTTTCGCAGAAAATTGTATTTTTGCCTAGAAAATGATTAAAAGGAACATACAGGGTGCGGCAACTTTCCCGCCCCTTTTATTTTTGCCATAACTTTCTTTAAAATTGATGAAAATTGATAATTCTTTTTTTATTCTATTCCCAACACTCTAGGAAAATTTTTGATGCTAAAATTTGTTTTAAATTTTAAGGTTTAGCCTGCTTAATTTTCCTTCAAAGTTTGAGTAAAATTTTTTTCATAAAAGTTGGCCTGGGCTCAATGTTAAGATTTCGATATTTGAAAACTTTATGTCATTCGAATAAGCTCTTAAACTGATTCGAATAATGGTTAAACAAAACTCTTATCTAGTCCATGAGCTGAGATATGAATTTTTAAAGATAAATTAGAATATAAGTGTTAAATTTCAATTTTTTAGTCGAAATTTTCAAAAATGTTTTTCTGGGATATTTCGATGCTCCTCAATGAGATAAGTCGATTGGTACCAAAATTAGTAAGATTGGACGACTTTGAGCAAAGTTATGACTGTGTAAACTTTGTCATAAAAAATGTTTTTTACGCATTTAAATGTTCGGACGGGTATATCCTTACTAAAACTTAACCAAATTTCAATTGCTTGGTACCAAAAATTTTCCTAGAGTGTTGGGAATAAAATAAAAAAAGAATTATCCATTTTGGTTGACTTTGAAAAAAGTTATGGCAAAAACAAAAGGAACGGCCAATTTGCCGCACCCTGTATTTTAATTATTTTTGAATACTATATTTCAAAATAAAAAAAAACTTTTATCAGATAATCTAATATTTAAATATCTAGGAAATGTGGAAAGTTTTTTAATTGTAAAAATATTTTACAAATTGTATTCTAACAATGATGAAATAAAAACTTTAGTAATATACTAAAATGTATTTTTGTAGCTACTTCTAATTTGAAAATTTTCCCCCTATATACTTTTACACTTCACACTTTTCCAATCCACGCTTATACAATATTGTAATGTTGGATCCGGCGTTGATAAACGACCAAAATATTCCCATCATTTGTTTCGTGACGGATATTTTGAGTAAAAATAGCAGCATGCTCTCTTTGATTGTAACTAAACATTTCAACATATTCAACATTGTCTAAATTTTGATCAAATTGCCATTTTACTTTATTAATTTATTCGTTTGTTCCATATCCAAAATGATTAACTTCTTGGGAAAATAATTTGGTATCTGTCCACCATTTGCATGGCCATTACCGTGAACATGACCATAATGATGAGTTGAAGCATCAGCATTAGTTACAATATGTTCTACATTTTCATGTGGTCCATAGAGTTGAATTGTTATTTCAACTAAAGTTAAATTAATTATTTTTCAAATAAAATAATCTCATACTTTGATCTGTTGTTTCAAGACCAGAATGATATTCGTAAAAATCATTATCGGCATTATGAAGTCTAATTCGTGCATTATTTAAAGCAAAACTTGCATTATGAAATAACAGATTACGAATGTTTTCTGTATAAATTAATATTTAGAAAGTTTGTTTATGGAGTTTGAGGAAAATTTTCGGCTTTATTTTTATCAAACCAATCGTTAATATTTATTAGGTCAAATATGGATGATCATCTCGATCCTTCGGATCGGTCGGGCCATTTTGTCAACCCTTATTATGCTTTAAAGTTTGTTACTTTAGCACAAGTTACTTTATTGATTCGTTACTCAATTCAGTCCCAAGAGGTGTAATAATAACGATATTCCATTGTATTTATTTCTAAACCTGAATACCTTTCATATGAGGTAACATATTCGTCAACTCAACTTCATTCATGGAATAATGTTCAATAACAATAATGTATTGTGTAAAAACTAATTTTAAATAAAGACTAAACAAATTCAAAAAGAAGGCGAAAATAATTAATGCCATTGCTTTTTAAATTCTGATTTTCTTTAAAAAGTATATATTACTTATAGCCATAACAAAAGGATAGGACTTTTCGATCGACCTACATAACCTAATGTCTAAAATATAAAATGTCCTGTCTTTTTATTACACTTTAACTGAATTATTAAATAAATTCTAAAAGAAAATAAATTAAAAAAATTATTTTTAAATTATTAATTATTATAAATTTTTATTATTTCATAATTATAAATTACTATTTATTAGTAAATTTTATTTGAGAATAAGAATATTTATTTAGCATTATATATATGTACACGTTAATAACCCTAATAAGAGGTAAAGGAAAGGCAGGCATTTCATTAAAAATTAATCAATGTAAAATTTTCTTATTGACAAAATTTAAAGATTTTTTTTTGCAAAATCGTATTTTTGTAAAATAAAATATTAAAATTTATTTTAAATTAAAATTTTGAATAAATGAGGTAGGAATCCTCAAGAGAGGGTTGCCAAAGCGTATTAAAAAACAATAGAACCGAATTCTAAACCAATACTTGGCTAGATATAATAATAAAGAAATAAAAGATGTTTTTTAAATGCAGACTTTATTTTTACAACAAAATATAATTCTTAGATTTTCTTTTGGATTTTTTTTAAATTGAAAATGATTATATTTCTTTATCTTAATTTTAATGGAATAATTATGAAGAAAAAACCCATTTAATTAACATTTAAAAAGAGGTACATAATTCCCCTTAAAATTTCATTTTAATTTTTTATTCAATTTTTGATGATTCGTTTTCATTCTTCTGTCCAATCACAATTTTTAACTTTTGTTTATTTCTCTCCTTGTGTATTTTCTTCCTCTTTATTTAAATAATTATAAATTTTTTCCAAATCTTTTTTTATTTTCAAATCAACAACTAAATTAAATAAATCGTTGAGAATATCTAAAGGTATATCGTTTTGAGTTGGATTAGCTTTGCTAGGTGGAATAGAACGTCCATAAACATTAATTGTTATTGTTGAAATAAATAAAAAATAAAATAAAAATATTTTTAATTTTTAAAATTCTATAAAAAATATTTTCGTAAAAAAAATTTTTCGGAAAAATATTTTTTTATAATAATTTTTTCTGAAATTTTAACATAAAAATTATATTAAACTATATTAAGTAAATGTTAAGTAAAATGTGCATAAATTTATTTAAAAAATAGATCTAAAGGCATTATCCGTTAAAAATTTGATGAAAATAAATTAAATAAAGAATAATCTAATTGAAAAAAGTCAATGAAAAAATTTTTTTTAAATATTTAATATTAAATGAAATAAAAGTAAGCCTATTCAGAAATTAACTTAAATTTATTAGAAATTTTGAAAAAAATGATTTTAATTTCAAAATATTTCTTTATAAGATAAGGATTTTTTAAAAGGATTTTTTAAATTATTTTTTTTTGCTACCAGCTCCTTTATTATTTTGAATTGACAAATTCGATATCCGAATCGACCATCTCCACTTCCCTTGTTATTCCGTTTTTGTCTGAATGAAATTCATATATTCCTTCATTCAAAATTGAAAATATTCCGAAAATCATTCCTTGATTTGCGACGACGTGTGTGTAATCATTATATACACCCATTTGACCATCTTCAATATCATCTCTTTCCGTTTCTGACAAATAGATATCTATGGACTGTCTCAAACTTCTCAAAACTTTTTTCTCATAATCATTCATTTTCTTGAAAATTTTGAAAACACATTTTTCCTCATTTTCTTTTTTAATTTTATAAAAAATTCAAGCCAACCCTCATAGAATCTTCTTACGACAATTACAAAATAATTGCCTGGATTTTCAAATTTTAGACAAATTTCAATGTGAGAATATTCCATTATCATTTCAGGTTTTTTGGCATTTAAAGAAAATGGTTCAAATAAATTAACCTTTGCATACTTTCCCCTTTTTAAAATTTTTCTAGGTCCTTCATGATTCAAAAAACAAATTAATCTTGTTAATTTATATTTATTCATGAAAAAAATAAATATTTGTGTTCTTACACCATTTATGTCTATATATTTCTGTTCATGAAAAATATTATCTCTTGCAATATTATCATCTGACAGCTGATTTGCTTCCAAATTGATTTGTCCATTAAATATAGGTCGCAAAGTCATTAATTCCTAAAAATGAAACGAGTTAGTCATTTATAAAAACAGATGAGGCACGTCTCAAAAAAGCAGATCTGCTCAATCCTCTTTTCCGTTGAAAACGTGGGTTTGAAATCGCTTTGATCGAAAAGGTTTTCGACTTGGTTCTTTTTAAGTTCACAGATTTCTCTGTTATGGACGGATATCCGAAAAAATTATGGACGAATCTTGGACAATATTGAGAATTTTGTTTCTTTGAGTCAGTATCGTTTCTCGCCGAGAAATGGACCGAGAATCTCGGTATCGGTTTCGAGACCGAGAATGAAAAAACCGAGACCGATATTGGAAAAAAGCCGAGAATCTCGGTATCGGTTTCGAGACCGAGAATGAAAAAACCGAGACCGATATTGGAAAAAAGCCGAGAATCTCGGTATCGGTCTCGTCTTGATCAACTCTACTTTAAACCGTGTGAACCATTGTGCGTTAATTATGCAAACCACATTTTTGCAAAAATAACCATATCTTCTATTATCTCTCGGGTATTCGGATATTCTTTTATTTTCTGTTTTTTAATGGTAAATGAAATGACTAAAAAAGAAGTCTAATAGAAGTGATAAATATATAGAGATCTGCTAAAGAATGAAGTACATTTGTAATTTAGCAACGTACCATGTTTTCGTCACGCACTGATGAACAGATACTTATACCGTCGCTGAAATTGATGATTGAGAGATTTTCAATTTGTATTAATCTGTTCCCTTTTCTATCAGTACTTTTAACAACGCTTTTAACAACGGTTGTCCTTGCAGTCCCAAAAACTACCATATCCAACAAAATAAACGTCGTTTTCATTTTTTGCATTAACCTCCAATAAAATTTTTATTCTATTATTATCACTTTCTTCATTCCTTTCGGTCAATTCCATTTTCAATAATTTTATTTTAAAACTTCCATCCTCATTTTTGTTATTTTCTGTGGATTCAACCAAAATTTGTTGATTAATTTTATAAAATGAAAAACAAAAAGAAAATATTAAAAATAATATTTGAGAAAAAAATAAAAATTTGATTAAAAACATTGAAATAAAAAGAAAAAATATTTTTTAAATAAAAGTAATTAAAGCTCTATTGCGCGGACTTTTATACGCGATTATTTATTGCCTGGCATCAGGGTTGTGTCGTAATTACGAATTACGTCGTTTTTTGAGTTACGAATTACGATTACGAAAATATCGGGAAAAATTACGAAAATAAAATATAAAAATTACGAAAAAATATTATTACAAAAAAAGCCTCTCGTACTTTGTCATTAAATTTTTGAAGGAAAAGGTAAAGGAATATTTATATTTTCTTCAGTCATGCCTTTTGTTTATCGGTGGTTGAGTGGTTTAGAATTTAGGCTTCACTCGCTTTGATGTTTTGCAACGTACCATGTTTTCGTCACCACTGATGAACAAATACTTATACCGTCGCTGAAATTGATGATTGAGAGATTTTCAATTTGTATTAATCTGTTCCCTTTTTTATCAGTACTTTTAACAACGGTTGTGGGATCATCGTGATTATACCTGCAGTCCCAAAAACTACCATATCCAACAAAATAAACGTCGTTTTCATTTTTTGCATTAACCTCCAATAAAATTTTTATTCTATTATTATCACTTTCTTCATTCCTTTCGGTCAATTCAATTTTCAATAATTTTATTTTAAAACTTCCATCCTCATTTTTGTTATTTTCTGTGGATTTAGCCAAAATTCGTTGATTAATTTTATAAAATGAAAAACAAAAAGAAAATATTAAAAATAATATTTGAGAAAAAAATAAAAATTTGATTAAAAACATTGAAATACTTCTTTTGAATTAGAAAAGAAAAATAATTTTTAATAAAGTAATTAAAGCTTTATTGCGCGGACTTTTATATGCGGATTATTTATTGTCTGGCATCAGGGTTGCGTCGTATCTACGAATTAAGATTACGAATTACGGCGTTTTTTGAGTTACGAATTACGATTACGAAAATAACGGGAAAAATTACGAACTACGAAAATAAAATATAAAAATTACGAAAAAATATTATTGCAAGAAAGACCCTCCTGTATTTTGTCATTAAATTTTTGAAGAAAAAGGTAAAGGAATATTTATAATTTCTTCGAAAATACTTTTGTTTATCGGTGGTTGAGTGGTGATAGAAGTCAGGCTTCACTCTCTTTGATATTTTGTGGGGCCTTGTTCGAATCCATGATTGGGAAATGAAATTTAGTTAATTGTTTTTTCCAAAAACAAATGTTTTTAAACTTTAATATAAATTTAAATTTACTTTTTTAATATCTTAAAATTGAAAAAAACTTTAAAATTTTTAATTTAGTCATGATTTTTTAAATTTTTCTCCGGCTCTAACAATTGAATTTTTGTTCCTAAAGCTTAAGAGGGATATCAAGAGATTGATTGAGGAGATATCGGAGGATTAAACATCAGGGAATTAAATGAGATTTGAATTAATATTAGAGAAATAAGAGGACTCGGAGGGATTAAAGGAAGCAGCATCAATTATTAATAAATATTTTATTTTTTAAATTAAATTAAATATTTTTTTAAAAATTACGAGTTACGGCATTTTTTGAGTTACGAATACGATTACGAAATTTTTTTTAAATTACTAATTACGATTACAAAAAAATTTCGATTACGACGGAACTCTGTTTGGCATTTAAAATTAAATATTGAGAAATATTTCTTAAGCTATTAAATTCACGTGAAAAACACTTAAATAAAGCTAAATTAAAAACAAATATTTCAAAATTATTTAAAGAATATTACATAATATTTTTTACTTTTTGTTTATTAATTAATATGTCCTTTTTAGATGTCCTTATTATTCTTAGACAATTTGTCTTTAGGCGATTTATACTTAAGCTTTGTTTTGTCTAATGCTCTTTCGCTTTCTTAATTTTAGTTGCTTCTCACTTTTCTCCATAGAACTACAATCGATTTTAATAATAAATTTAGGAGAATTGGGATTTTTCCTATATTTTTTCTAGATTATTAAAATTAAAATGCTTTCTCTTCCACCAGAAGTTCAACTTGATGTATTAAAATTACTTAATTTCAACCAATTATTTTCTGTTAAACTAACTCATTTTTATTTTTGCAATTTAATCAATAAATATGAGGGGGAATTGGCACAAATTAAATTTTATAAAATTTCAATAGTAAATATATAAACTTTTTTTTATTTAAATTAATTTTAGATTGAGCCCAAATCTCTTCTAAAGTTAAAGCCATATAAATTCATTAAACCTAAATTCGAAATTTTTGAAATAACTTTAAGCGATCAACTTAAAGAGAAGGTTAATAAATTAATTTTTAATTAAAGTTAAATTTTTTCAGTGGCAAACAGCTATAGACAAATCAATTCCTTTATTCTTGGATAACTTCATCAGTCAATTATTTGTTGGGTTAAAGACGACAGGTATAAAAGATTATTTCATTAATTTTATCAATTTGCCAAATAATTTTTAATCATTTTTCTATTTAGGGGACAGAGGATCTACTTATATCTTAGAATTCCCAAACCTTTCAAGAAATATTCGAGAAATGAGTATTGCTCGTTGTTGGATCGAAGTACTTTTTAATTGTGCTTTTGAACGTGCTTTATTTCTCGAAGGTATATTTAATCCAGAAATGGTCAATATATTGTTCGATAACGACAAAATAATTCATCTTCTTAACATTAATCATTTATATCTATCTGCTAGCAATAGAATATGTGAAAATTTGGTGGTCATTTTAGATAATATAGTAATATCTGAATATTTTTCGGTGAATTTGAAAGATGTTGACGTTCCAGAGCAATATACAAATATTTTACTTGATATTTTAATGAATAAAGGCGATAAATTACATGGCGTTGAGTTTGGGTTTAAATGCGAATTGCCACAACTTTATGATCTCATTATTGAAGTAAGTTAACCAGACTTTTTTAAATTATAAATTCTTTTATAAAAATAAATTTTCAGTATCTAGCAACATCTAGAGACTGTTCAAAAATTGTGTCTTATATTTCTTTACATCACCCTGGAGGAACAAAATTTAAATTAAGTGAGAGAGCAGAAAACATTAAAGTTAATGACTTTGGGGTTATAAAATATATAAATTACCACATATCCAATATTCACAATCCAAAGGAAAGATTTTATTTTTATATTAACGAAACAAGACGTAAAGATATTGCTTCTAGTTTAAGATTTAAAAAAGTATAATTTCTATTTTGTTTGTCGAACAGTAAAATTAAAAAAAAAGATTGTTCTCATTTGTTTTTTTATTAAATCGTTTTCTTTGTTACAATTAAAAAAATTATTGTTTTATAAAATATAAAAATTTTCTTTTTAGTCCGACAGAAAGCCTAAATAATGTGCTACAAAAAACACTTCGTCCTATAATGGAGAAAAATTCTCCCATTGGCGAGCCATGGGTTAAATTTAAAAGTTCGAAATAATGACTAGGGTTGAGTTTTTAGGCGCTAAAAGATAAAAAATAGACGCCTATATAGGCACTAAAAAGTGACAAAACAGGCACTAAAATTTTGCAGACATTTGATAAATTCTTATCTTTTATTCCCAACAATAAACCGAGAACCTTATTATGTACTATGCGTAGTTCTGAGACTTGCTCCAAATTTTTTCTCTTGTCCCTATCATTATGTCAATGATTGCATAAAATATTAAAACATGCTCTGTAAAAATTTTACAGAAATTCGAAATATAAATAGGTAATTAAAAAGATCTTTTATGTTTATCAAAAACAGAAATTTTAAAACCAATTTCTAAACTCAAATAAATACATAAAAGGAAAAGCTTATATAATAGAATTATCGAATTTGCCCAGAAACCGTTATTTGGATCTAAAAACCCGTTCTAGAAATAATTTGGAGAAAAAAATCTGGGCAAATCCAGTCCAGAGCCGAAAGGTAAAATATAAGATATATGTATATAAGTAATATTATCGAAGATTAACAAAAAATTCGTCTAATTTCTGTACAAACCATTCCACCAAACCCACCATTATATAAAATAGAGAATTTAATTTTTGGATTGTAAATGTTGAAAAGTTGGTATTTTGGCGCTAAATAATCTGGCCGGTACTCATTTACACGTTCCTCTCCAATCTTTTCAGCTTTTTCATTTAAAATAGCAAGATTGATATCAAGATTATTTGCAATTAAGTTAATTTTTTCCACCATTTTTGAACAATTTTTTGATGTTGTAATAAACTAAAATTCAAAAAACAAATAAATAAAGATATTGTAAACAAAAAATTATATTTTTATATTCCAAAAATTATATGTATTCCCAGTAATAAATCTCAAACATGTCCCATTGAGCAAAAACTCCCCATGACCGTCTGAACAAAGTCCCTAAAATGTTTATCACCATTTCGGCCCATCTCAGAAAATGTCAGACAAAATTATTCAAAAATATTCAATTCGATTTTACCCGATTTTTATTCAGTCCGATTTAATTTTAATATAAATCCGGGCCCTAGTCATTATATTCTAATGCACGTAAAAAACTCACATTTATAACAAAATCGTAAAGTTCTGGACCGTCCGTAAGTCCTAAACTGACTTTTTTAAACTTGTCTCCGTTCATAAAAATTTTGCTTAAAATATCCACAGAATCTTCAGTATTGTTTTCACGAGAAAAATTGATAAAAATAGAAAAGCCGATTAAATGATTCACAACAAATTTTAATAAATTGCCGTTAAGGACCACAAAAGCCGTTAAGGACGAGTATATAACATGAAATTTCTTAGGAGTTCTAGCATTTCCAAATAATAATTCGATCAAATCTGGATTGAAGATAAATTTATTGAAGCA